AACTAAAAGCCTTTCCTATGAGGATAAGGAGGGAAACCTTCCCAGTGAAAGGTTAATACGTTTTCCTTGTTTAGTGAAGTGTAGTATCTTCAGACTGTGCCTTGTCTGCTTAAAGCATCCAGACTACTTTGTCCTGAGTAGTTGGAATATCAGGATGTCAGAATCAGGCCTAGGTAGTGGTATTGTGTAGTTTCTGTGATCGTCCTGCGTTTTAACTTTACCTGCTAGTTCAGTGGGTATCCCCAGCTCCAAAACTATTTTTATTCTGTTCAGGAGCTTGGTGTTTTAAGTCTCATTCCCCAAAAATCCTTCAGGAATCCCTGCTAAAGGCTTCGGTCTGCACCAGGGTACTCAAGACTGCCAGCTCAGCACCAGCTCACAATCTGGGAGAAGCCACATAGATTTGTGTCAGTGTTACTGGTAAGTGATAAATCCAGGAGACCTGGCAGTCTGTTTTTTGTTCATCTGCCGAGTAGAACAGAGGCTATGGCTTATAATTTTTTCACACTTTTTGATCTCTAGTACACAAACAGGCTGGTTTTGCCCCTGTGGGATGGCTCAGCTTAAATTCGATGGCTCTTTGATGGTCTTTAGCCTAGGAACCAGCTGAAAGGGCGATGGGCACTGCAAATCCCTAGCTAGTGGGAAGGGAGGGAAGTTACTTCTATTGCTGCTTGTGCTATCTCTTGTTTTCCAAACTGGGTATAAGCAAGCTTTTCACTTGATCAACATTCAGATTTTGGCTTTGGTAGTGCCTTTATTTCAGGTGCCTGAGAATAAGCAGGAGGATTAGATTAAAGTTAAGTCAGTGTCTTGCTGCTTGGTTGTTGGAACATGCATAGTTTTTGGAAATATGATGCATTGAGAGAAGAAAGCTGACATAGAGGACTGGTTTGCTGTAGCATCTGGTAGACGTGGGCCCTTGTGAATGCCCGAAGGCTCTTGGCCAGGAGGGATAGCTGTTCTCATCCTTGCTGGTTTTAGGAAGCATGCTTAAATCCCCTGGGAGACCCAGCGCCAAGAGAAAAACTGCCTCAGCTATTGATTTGTGGAGCACAAGTCAGCTGTCCCCTGGAACGATCTGTGCAACCTTTGTACAACATGCCACGCTGGTGTCAAGCTTGTGGCAGTGCTCCCATCTCCTGGGAAGGAATGGGCTAGAGGGCAAAGGGAACTGTTCTCTCCAGCATTTCTCTGTGCCCTGTTGCTGCCCCCCCCCCCCCCCCCCCCCCCCCCCCCCCCCCCCCCCCCCCCCCCCCCCCCCCCCCCCCCCCCCCCCCCCCCCCCCCCCC